AAAGGTTAACCTAACTTTATGTTGGCGATAGAGGAATACCATTGTGGTTTAACCCCATCTAATAAGCATATTACCAAAACAAATGTTATTATTAGAAAATAATATGAGCATTTTTAGTGGCTAAAAATAGTAGTGTAACCACAAGCGTTAAATGGTTAACTGAATTAATTTGCTCGGTATTTTTAAATCTCTTAATAACCTTACTAAGTTTTGCCGGTTTGCTGAATCGTATGTCTGTTTGAAATCGACAAAGACTGCGTGGATAGGAATATTATACTCATAGCACATTCTCTAGGTTTGCCTCAATGTAAAAATATGATCTGTGTCTGATCTGCTTTTTCGAAAACCACATTGATACTCTATTATTTGTTGTGTGTACTCTTCCAATTTTACTCTAATACTCTTCGCTAATATTTTGTATACCATATAAACAAAGGCTATTCCTCTATAGTTTGAGCTGTATTGCCTATTTCCTTGTTTGTATACCGCTATTAAGAGTGATCTGTTTCAATATGTAGGCATTTCTTCCCTCTCCCATAAAATTTTTATGAGCTCATGTAATTCTGCTAATCTGTCTCCTCCTTATTTAATAAGTTCTGAATTTAATCCATTTTCTTCCGGACTTTTACAGTTTTTTTTTTTTTTTTTTTTTTTTTTTTTTTTTTTTTTTTTTTTTTTTTTTTTTTTTTTAATAGCATAATTTAGTTTACAATCTGCTTCATCGAAGCTATAAGTAAATAGTTTGAATGGTAAATACATGAGGGAGAAGCTGCCCTGTGGCAACTCTCCTATTATATTTTTTACATTAGATCATAATATATTTAATTTATTAAATCTGTTGGCCATTGTTTCTTCAGTCGTCTTGCGAATTCGGGAGGAGCGTTTAGCAGTCTTGCTTCATCATTTGGATGACTTCTCAGACCATCAAGGTAGCTCTTTGTGATCCTTTGGATTTCTTCCTCTACCAAAGGTGTAGCTGAGTCCTCGTGTAGGGTTTTATTGCTTACATACCAGGGCGCGTTGAATATTATTCTTAATATTTTTTATTGGACTCTTTGTATTATCTTGATATTTGATGGCTTTGAGCAACCCCAGAGTTGAACACCATAGGTCCAAATTGGTTTTATCATAGATTTATACAGGAGCAGTTTATTTTCAGTATTGAGTTTTGATTTTCGACCCATAAGCCAGCTCATTTGTCGTATTTTGATGTTGATCTGGGTTTTCTTGGCTTGAATGTGTGGCTTCCATGTTAATCTTTTGTCAAGGGTTAGTCCCAAATATTTAACTTGTGTGCTGACTGGTAATTGTGTATCGTTTAATGTGATTGTTGGACATGCATCCCTTCGGTTTGTAAATGTAACTTGGGATGACTTCGTTTCATTTACTTTCACCTTCCATTTGTTGAGCCATGTTCCCAATTGGTTAAGGTGGTTTTGCAGTTGTGCAGACGCGATAATGGGGTCCTCGTTGACAGCGATTATGGTGGTGTCATCAGCGAACGTTGAAATTTGGGTTGTTTCAGTGGTTGGGATATCTGCGGTAAATAATAGGTAAAGGAGAGGACCCAGGACGCTACCCTGTGGTACGCCTGATTTAATGGGAAAATATGTGGAAGTTGCTGTGTTATATTTTACTTGGAAGTAACGATCTTCAATGTAGGATTTCATACTTAGGTAGTAGGGAGTTGGAAGAATGCTTTTGAGTTTGTATAAGAGTCCAGTGTGCCATACTCTATCAAACGCCTTTTCTACATCTAAGAATGCCGCTGTACAATATTTTTTTTCCTCAATAGCAGTAAGGATTTTTGTTATAATTCTATGAGTCTGTTGTGTTGTGGAATGTCTCTCTCTAAAACCAAACTGGTGTGTGGGTATTTCTGCGTCTAGGTTAATGTCCTTCTTCAGTCTATCAAGTAGTAGTCTTTCGAAGATTTTAGACATTGTCGGCAACAGGCTGATTGGTCGATAGGATGATGTTTTATTTGGAGGTTTGCCTGGTTTGTGAATCATTATTATTTGCGCAAATTTCCATGTGATTGGGAAATATGTCAGTCTGAGTGCACTATTGTATATTGTAGTTAACATGACCAATGCTCTTCTCGGAAGATTTTTCAGTATTAATCCTGTTATTAGGTCAAATCCAGGTGCTTTGTGGTTATTGCATTTTTCTATTTCTAGTTTCACTTCTGATGGACTGAATGGTGTTATTGGGGGCGTCATAGGGCAAGCACTATCCAGGAATTCTCTTATTAAGTTTCCATCGTTATCATTATCTGCTTGGTGTTCTTTAAAAATACCAGCTAAGTATTCTGCAAATGTTAACGCTTTTTCCTGGTCTGATCTTCCCCAAGTACCGTCATCTTTCTTAATTGGTGGGTTGTGTTCTGTAGGTCTCTTTAAGTGTTTTGTTGCCTTCCATATTGAGTGATCTTCTTTAGACAAGGTACTAATGTAGTGCTCAAATGTGGCATTGCGTGCATCATTTAGCGCTGTTCTTAATTGTCTGGTTAGTCGATTATATTCGTGTTTGTCATTAATATTGCGGCTTCTTTGCCATCTACCTCTTGCTCTTCGTTTTTCGACTATTAGTTGTCTGATATAATTCGGAGTGGTATTTGTGTTTTCTTGCTTTGGAGTTGATGGTGTAGCTCGATATGCAGCTTGTTGAATTTGACAGGTGAGATAGTTTATAGCTTTATCTATGTCATCTTTTTCTTTTAGTCTGATTCCAAGACTTAGATTCATGTCAAGCTGGTACTTGAATTCACACCAGTTAGTTTTAGGGGACGTTAACTTGGGTATTTCAGGTCGTTTCATTATGTGGGTGCTGAGTGTTGCTATGATTGGTGTATGGTCAGACGAGAGATCCCAATTTGCTTCTATGTCTGTGTAGTTTGCTGCAATTCCTTTTAGGATGAAGAAGTCTAGTAGATCTGGTAGTCTATTTATGTCGGATGGCCAGTATGTTGGTTGTCCCGTCGATAAGTAGGTGCAGTTTGTGTTGTTGATGGCATCTAATAGGCTTCTGCCTTTTGGTGTAATGAGTCGTGAGCCCCAATTCGTATGCTTAGCATTCCAATCACCTCCAACAATGAATTTGTTACCTAGCTTCTTGAATAGTTCTTCGTATTCTTCAGTTGTGATTCTATATCTAGGAGGACTATATATTGCAGCAATTTCGAAGTCCCAATGCCTGGCATTTATATTAAGTATTGTTGCTTGAATCTCATTTGTTTTATGTTCCGGCACTTGATGGTGTTGTATATTGTTCCTTATAATTATTGCGGATCCTCCATGGGCTGTTCCATCTGGGTGACTAGTGTGGTAGACTGAGTATTGAGGTATTTTAATGACGCTTCTTTCTGTGAAATGCGTTTCAGATACAAGAAGGATGTCTATTTTGTTGTCCTTTAGGAATTGGATTACTTCTGCTTTATGGTTTGCTAAACCATTTGCGTTCCACTCGGCGATTCGAACAGATCTAACGAATTTTGTTAATTAATGTTGTTAGCATGGTAAGGATCATGCTGTTTTGATTCATTAGTTGGGTGAACATTGCTTTAAATTCGTTTAAGAATAAGTTCATTTGAGACCCTATGTCAGCTACTTGATTTCCTGCTCTTACTGCTTGGGCATAGGATTGGGTTCCATTCTGTTGTTGGTACTGTGATTGTTGACTCTGGTACTGTGAAGTTGGTGCTGGGTTAACATTTTGATGTGGGTTCGGATTATTATGGGTCGACTGATTTCCGCTTTGGCGATTATTTCTTGCATTTTGTACAGTTTTTTTAAACATTTTATTTAATTTTCTACTTCCTCCAGAGATGGTGGATGGGCGATTAAGTCATAGTTTATATTTTCTTCACTGTGATAGTAATCTAGTACTTCTTCAAAATGCTCCTTCCATATATTTAAAATTCTTTCTTCATCTGCTATTAGCTCTTCATTTTTGCTATTTATAAAATGAGTCTTTCCTATTGCATCGAACATCTTAAAAAAATCGCGTTTCTATTTTTCCCAATGAACTGTCGTTTTCTTGATCAACAGATACTTTTTGCAGTTCTTCATTCTCTAGGGTTGTTGCTTTGATTTTTTTTGTTTCAAATGTTTTGTTAAGTTTTGCGATTTCCAGAAAATGATCACTATCTGCATCTGCTTCTCTACATTGGTAATTTCATGACTGGCTTATGCATTTCTTCCTTTCCAATGTTTGCATTGAAATCTTGTATTATCTTTATATTCCTTTTTGGTAGAGGTAAAATATTTTTCTCTTTTCATAGAAAGTTTCTTTGTCCCCCTTATGTTTTCGTTAATTGTAATCTCATAAGTATAACATTCAAAGCTTATACATTAATTCACTAGCTACTAAAGTTTGAAAGTAACAGTTAAAAAATGAAAACAGGCAGGGGTAAACAATGTGTAGAACTTCAACAAAAACGCTTTTAGAGAAGGGTGATATTTTTTCGTACTCAAAGAGAGCAACATACATGGTATCTCTTATTCAAGTGAAATAAACTGTTTCACATCGCTAAGAAAAAGGTTAAATGCGAGCAGTTGTCAGTAAAATTTACTTGGGGTGTTAGTCGATAAATTTTCTTTGTTTATCCACACTGATTTATTTGCTTGTTCTCTTACTTTCCCCTTTCAGCATTTTATAGTTCTTGATTCTTAGTTTTTAATCTACCAAATTTCTTTTCTCTCTTTCTTTTCTCAAAAAAAGGTTAAATGCGAGCAGTTGTCAGTAAAATTTACTTGGGGTGTTAGTCAATAAATTTTCTTTGTTTATCCACACTGATTTATTTGCTTGTTCTCTTACTTTCCCCTTTCAGCATTTTATAGTTCTTGATTCTTAGTTTTTAATCTGCCAAATTTCTTTCATCTGTTAATTAATTGGTAGACTTACATTTTTAGTTTTTAATTCTGAAGTTCTGCTAACTTCATCTATATTTTGTTAGTTAATTATTAGTATCAATAAGGTAAAAATTAAAGGCAACATGTAACATTTAATACATTTATTACGAACTAAAATACATAAATTGATTGTATTCGAAAGGAATGAAATACATATGCATAATTATATTACGAGTAAACATGAACTAGACAAATACCTTAAGTACTAATATACACCTTAAATAGTACCCTAAATTCTAACTTACACGAAAGACACAAATGTAATTAATATTTATTTAGCTTCAGCTACGTCATTGATAATCAATTTGTTCTCTGCTCCTTCTTCATCCCCCTTCTCACTTAGTTTAAACCTGTAAAGTAAATTACAAATTAGCAACAGTTTTATTAAAATTGTATTTGTGCATAAGAGAACAGTGAATAAGTATATGAATTATGCCAATTTCCAAAAGGTCGAAACAAAAAAAAAAAGACATTGTATGAAAAATTTACTGTTTTCATCAATCATTGATTGATGATTGTTTCAGAAAGCTAATTTGTTAACATGGAATTTCTAATTTACCCGTTTAGTCACAAATGTTTGATTATACATTCTGATTTTTCTGCTGATCTTTGTGTAAAGCACCCAGTCAGTGATAACCAAAACTACAATTGTTGCCCTTCCTGTTTAAATTGCAATAAAATATTGAATTGAAAAAAAAAAGATATAAACTGATTGCCTTTTGTAAAATGACATCGATCTGTAGAAATATTGATGTATACTAAGCCATGCAAAAAATAATAATGTCACCTTGCCATGAATCAGAAAAGCAATAAAAATACATCCTGGGATTATACAAGGTATGTCTATAGCCTTGTGTGATTAGGAGTCTTTAGAATCATTCATCTAAGCCCCTTGCCCAATTAACAAGGCAAATCGTTGCAAAACAAAAAAGGGTTCAAACAATCTTACCTATCATATCTCTCACCGTTAATACGAGAATCTTCATCTTCATCCGAACTCTTGTTCCCTTGGGCCTCTGCTAAAATATCGCCCAGGTCTTTATCAACATCAGCCCACAATTTATCCTCTTCTTTAGATTGGTCTTCAGTTTTTGGCACAGCTTTAACTCCTTCCTTTTTACTTACTACCTTGTAACGTTGAATATGCACACGTTGTTTACAATGACGAGCCAAAATAGGAGCCATATCAGATTCATCTGCTCGTTGAAGATACATCTTACATAAGTCACAATAGTAGGCTTCAATTTTACGGATTTTGTCCAAGCCTACACTTTCACCACCTTCTGCATTTTCATCTTAAAAAAATTAAAATTACCGTTCTGAGATAAAATATTTATACTTATACTCACCATCTCCAACTGAATCAATTGTAGTGAAATTCTCTATATCACCATCATCAACACCTCCTCGTTGTTTACGCTACAAAAGAAATCAGCTGTTAGTATTATCAACATAGTTCCTGAATATATTATCACCATAATTAGGAAACATCAGTAAGGAAAAAATTGTCTTTCAGTTTAAACTCAGACCCGAAAGATGGTTAAGCATCATGTTTAAGTATATATTTTCTTAATAAAATTATTTGTAAAGATAACTTACCTTAATATGATCCACAGAGCACAAATGCTTTTCATAAGACATGGGACTCTTAAAGGATAGGGTACAAACTTTGCAAGTGGGCATCAAGAACTTTTTCATGTTAACATGTGATTCAGATAATTGATGCACAGCTTTCTTTTGCTTGAAATTCAATTTGCATAGAGGACAGTAAGTAGTTACATTGTCGAGATCCTCAGCATTCTTTTCCAACTCATTTTGAGTGTTTCTCTGAGCACGGCGCATTGTATCTGAAAATATTGTTCATAAAAGATTGTGCAAATGATTGGTTGGCTAGATGTCAAATACTGAATATTTTGAACTGAAAAAATTTCAATAAAAAATTGCTACAACTTACTTAGGATAGCTTTTTGCTTAAAAGCAACTCTTCTCATTGCAACAGAATGGGTACGGCTACCCAAGTGCAATTCATATTTCTTATAAGTCAAAGCCCGCATGTGGCAATGAGGGCATTGCAGTTTGATAAAAGCTTTGCTTTGTTCTTTTCTTTCTTCATTATCCTTACCCTCTTCAGTGGTTTGTGCTCCACTATCAATTTCTACTTTTACTTCTCCATTTTCAGCTTCAGCTTCTTCTATGGCATGTCTTCTTGCAATGGCCCTAATTTATGACATATCAATTAGACAAATGTTTAAGAGAAATCATGTAAAATTGACAACAAAATTCCTTAAATGTCTACTTAAATTTTAAGTATAACCACTATCTAAAAGATCAGAAACTAGAAGTTATATATGAGACTGTCAATATTATTGTAAAACTATTTTTATTAGGTTACTTTTCAGAAATATAAATATTATTTTTTAAAAATTGAGCAATTTTACATTAAAATTAGACTAAACAAGAAGTCATTGTGATAATTTTGGATGATTTGTTTGCAAGAAAGCCCATAGAAAATTAATTTGATGTTTACCATCTACACATGAAAAACTGTTTGTTAAAAAATCTTCACTATATGAGAGGAAAATGTGAACAACACAGGCTCAATTGATCATTGGCATTTACAAAGTTTTAAATGTTTAGCCACATTTTATATAAAAAGGCCATCTAAGGGCCAACTAAAAAATCACTGTTTTATGTAACCAAATCAAATAATTTTCATAATTTCTATTAATGGCTAGTAAGAAACAATTACAAAGACACTAGACACTTTCTTCTCAAATGAGATTAAAACCTAAAATGCATTATAGAAGAATGTTATGTTGTGTAACCTTGCCATGAATCAGAAAAGCAATAAAATACATTCTGGGATTATAGAAGGTATTGATATGGCCTTGTGTGATTAGGAGTATTTTAGAATGGTACATCTAAGCCCCTTGCCCAATTAACAAGGCCAATTAACAATATATCAGGTAAGTTGACATTTTTGACAGTGTCAAATAAAACTTTTACAATCATATGGTAGTTTACAAAATGATAAATTGCTACCTTAATTAAACAGTTATTAAAACTGTGAAGTCAAATTGATTAATTTGTAACTAATTTGAATTAAGGTATCAATTGGATGTATTAGTCTTCTATAGAAATATAATTTTACAAAAATGAAAAACTATTGGAATACTAATATGGAAGCATCTGCTTGTTCTGTCCACCTACAAACCTTGCACTGCTGTCTTGCCAAATACACATTAAGGTACACAAATTGATGGAATATCCTGAAGTGTAGGTAGGCTGAACCTTTTAACCATCTCTGCTACATTTTGTTCATTTAAAACTATCAAGATGTGTCCAAGGCATATCATTTATCAGCTGAACTGGTCATGGGGAGTTCTTCATAAATTGTCATACAATCTATAGCTACAGCAGTCTTTAAACTAATGTTTTACAATTACTAACATGAAGTCCCATATCACAAACATAGGTGCAGACTCAAAAGTTTATAATGGGTATTTATCTTAATATTGGTTTCGTAAAATTTCACATTCACTGTCATAGTTCAATATTTTGAGGTGATTTTAGCTATGTTAAATTAATCTTTTACTAATCTAAATACCTAAAGCTTTGTCTATTAATAGTCACAACTGTGCAACAGTGGTTCTCTATATTTTAGGTATTTTAATTAACAGCTATTCTGACTGTTTGTGTTATAAACAAGTTGCATTTAATCACCTTAAAATATCAATTCTTCATTTTTATACCACACTTATATTGAATTGTGACAAAGTGCTGACATATCATCTCAAGTGAACTGGAAAAGTCTTTGCTTCTCAAAATAAAAATCAAGTAAAAAAGTGTCAAATAAAATAAAAAGTCCAGTTTCTGCATAACTATTCACAACTATCACAATATTGTCACATTTTTTCTGCAATCAATGAATAAAATCTGTATTTTTATTTACCTCCTGATTCTAGCTATCTTAAGCCTCCTTGCATATTCAGAGATATGTGGAACTCTCCTGCGAATAGAATATGATCCAGGAACTAGACTTCGTCTAGCTCTTATACTAGACGAGCCCCTTGAACTAAGTCTTCCACGGTAAGAACCGCGTTTTGGTGGAGGTCCAGAAGGCCTACGGAACTCTTCCCTTCTTGACAATGTAGAGTGATGTTCACTTGGTCTTCTTTCATATGGTGCTTCATGTCTACTCGAACCATAGTAACTTTCATGCCTGGAACTAGGAGCCTGGACAACATAGATTAAATAGCACATCAGATTTGTAAAGTGTTCTTCCTTACTGTCAAACCATAAGGGCTCATCAACTAGAGAATATTGTTATAGTATTGTCAAATCTAGATAAAGAATAGCCACATTCTTTTATATCAACATGTGCACTTTCTAAAAACTGTTTTTGTGGATGTGTGCTCTGTTAAAAAAATGAAGCCTATCTAGCCTTTAAATCAAAATATTTATTTTTTTATACAGGATTCACCCTAATTGCCAAACTTTCCAAGGCTTTTTAAACACTACTAGGAGTGTTCTTTCTTTACAAACAAAATCTAAATTTTTAAAGCAGTTTTTCTTTTTTTTTGTAATTTTTTTTAACTATTTCAAAATGAAACTGCTTTAATATTTTTGATAAAATAATAAATGTTAAAAGCATTAGCCAATCTCTGGGCATTTCTGAAGTATGTTCTCATGATTAAAAATTTGTATTTTTGGCAAGGTGATTCATAAAAAGTTACATTTCTGGTTTACTCTAATTTGTCCATTTCGTCAGGTAGCCTGTAAAAACTAAAATGATATTTTATCAATACTTACTTCCACCCTCAAACGTTTACGTTCAGGGGATCTTCTTTCCCGTACCATCACACTGGTGCTATATTCCTGTAAACAATTATTTCAAATATAGGGACCACAAATAAACAATTTTAATATTTTACTAAACTAGATACACCTGAGCTTGGTTTTAATTTACCAATTTCATTTATAGGATTGAAAAAATATACTACAGTGCTAGCTCAAATTTCCAGATATTTTGTTTCATAGTCTTTCATGTGATGCTATGTTGATGTTGTCTATTATTAACCCTTAACTACAGAGATCCGTACAGAGTGGGCGGTCCCAAAACACAGATTTACAATTGGTATCTGTGCCATTAACAAATTTCATGTGTCTCAGTACATCTTGGGCAGTTTGTATAATGGTGCAATCAAAACTTCAGAGTGTATTGTGAATATTATCAACTTTCATAGGACATATCAAAATACTTGGTACAGGTGAAATTTGCCAGCAGTCTGTTGGTATTTTTAATTAGTCTTATATGGGTAAAATGTAATGATGAAATTGATTCTGGCACAAGTGATGTGGACTCCAGGGTATTTACCAAGAGACCATGACACTGAATCACTGAAGAAAGTAAAACCACTCATATTTGCATATTGTGCAAGACTCTGCCATGTTTGTAATGCACAGAAGAGTTTGCAAGGAATGTGCCACTTAATTTTTTTTGACAAATTTACCTCTTGCAGATTTTTTCTCCTAGATGTATAGATACTCATAAATGCTATTTTATGTTTCTTACATGATTTTATATTTGGTTTATTTGTTTAAAAAAAAAATCTGAATTTTTGTTCATGGCATTTATGGTTGTTGGCTTTAATAGACCAGAAATGTTCTAAAATTAACCTTTAAAAATATTTTCATCATTAAAATCACTTATTTCACATGTTCTCCCAGTCATCTAGACACTACTGAAAAATACATAATGCATTTTTTTTATTAACTTACATTTGACTGAATTTGATAATGACCGGTAAAATACCGGGGCTCTTAGGTGGTAATAACGAAATGTCTGTAGTAAAGGGTTAAAGGAGATCCTCACATCCGAAAATTTATCATTTCCTTGTAATAAATGAAAGCAAAATATTTAAAACTTAGAAAATGGCCGATTAAGGAGGTCGAAGATCTCTCATTAAATTTTAATGTATAAGGCAATGCGGATAATACATTAATACTAAAGAAGTTGAGAGTCTCTGCTTAGAATAATGATCCATAGATTTTAAGTATTATTATCGATTTGCTACTATCCAAATTAATTAAAAATAAGAAACACTCAAAAAATACTCACAGCTCTGTAAGGCTTATATTCTTCTCTAAATCTCTCTGAAGTCGAATATTTGGGCTCATAGGGATTTCTTGATTCCATTGCGGATGGATACCTGCTCGAAGGATATCCTCCTGAACGCGGGGAGCCATTCCAGGACGAAAGTCCTCGGCTGGAACTTCCTCTGGAACTGCCCCTGTAACCTCCTCTAGGAGACGATGGGAATCTACCTCTAGGCATATTAGCTGATACCTATTAGAAACAAAATGTAAGAAAATTAATGATTTCGGTAACGACGCCACGCCATACAAAATGGCTGAACTGTGCATCTACTTACCGATTACAATAAAACTCGAAAAGTTAGGTAAAATAAGAAATCTCCCTATTACTTAGATATGTAGTACACAAATGTTTAAAAATTCAACGAATACTATTATTAAAATTCAAAATTATCTACAAAAATGAATTTTTTTGTAATGGAGCTCTCACCTACAACCGCTCACTTCAAAATGACGACCGCAAAGAGAAAGAAAAAGGAACCGGAACTCTCGATGTAAGCTTTCCGATGATGATGCCAATTGCCAACCTTTCCTTGTCTAAGATGCCAACTGCCAACATAACTCTATATTCTTTATATTTTTGACTCGTTTCACTTGATTCTTCAACCACACAATTTATTTTTGGATATTATGCGCTTTTGACTTAAACAATAATAATTATTTTAAAGTATTTTATTTACTCTTTAACACAAATTAAGCCCTCTTTTAATTTTAATATTTAATAATAACGAATATTTTCTTAAATACTTTTTGTATTTACTCTTGTCAAATTGGCAACATCGACGATGTCATTTTAATTCGATTCATGGCAAATATCTCTAATTTTGGGTCCATATTAGTTCAACATAATGTTGATTGTAAGTCCAAATTTGGTTGCTATTTAGTTTATTTTGCATTGCCCTGACAAATAATTTACTAAGGTTCGTAATAATTTACTTTTAAAAATACGTCAGTCAAAATAGAGTGTAAATTAAAGTTAATTCTAGAATGACAATCAGTTACAAGTGCAAAAGTAAAAAACTTTATTAATTACAGCTCTTAGTTGTCACGAATTTTAAAAGATGGCACTTAAGTTTGAAGTTTATGAAGTTTATTTTGCATTTTGCCAACCGCACCCTCTGTTATGTGCGTCAAGAATTTAGAAATTTATATTATCCGTAATGGTGGCCGACCGTGTGCATTCTAAAATTATTAAATAATCATGTCGCTAGAGACTCGATCTAATTCAGCTCTGTTTAAAAGAGCAGACCAACTAAAACGTTGGGAAGAATCCGATACAAATCGAGAACCAGTGTCACCGAAACAAAAAACTCGTAAAATAAAATTCTCTTCGGGATGTGTGTTTCTCGCCGCTTGTGCTGCTGGTGATAAAAAAGAAGTGTTGGAATTGTTACATAAAGGAGCTGACATTAATACTGCAAATGTGGACGGATTAACAGCCTTACATCAGGTAAATTGCTTTTGAAAATTCCACCTGTAGCAGAAAGTGCCCTGGATTTAAATGACGTAAATTTCATCAATATGGCTACTACAGCTGACAAAATTATTACATAGGAAGTACAATATTCTGTAAAAAAGGAATAAAACAACTGTACAAAAGTGCAGCTTTATGTGGTTTATTTATAGTTGTATTAAATCTACTGGGCTATAATTTCGTTGAGCTCCACTATTTACCAAAGCTTTACATATTTACAAATCTTTAATTGCTATAATTTTGTTTATTTATTCACTATTCTCTTTAATTACTATCTTCATATTTACTTTTTCCTATATTATGGACGTAATTGGGGATGTTATTCAAAGTAGTCAAATTCGTTTTGTTGTTGTTTTATGGGGAATGTTATGTCTGTGTATGAAGTCACAATAAAGATATTTTGGTTTTGAATATGCTGATAGGAGTTTGTTTGTTTATATTATTTTAATTATTTAACAAAAAAATGTACATACTGGTTTATTAATTTTTGTCTATATAGAAAACTAATTATTTTCTTTTCTTAACCAACTATGTTGAATTTGAATCATTCTAAACATATTTTTTTTAAATAAAAAAAACAATGTCAACTAAAGTTTGTTATACTTAAGTAAAGGTAATGTAAATAAAAGTTGTCAAATGGCAAAAACCAATAAAGTGGTAATGGATCACATTATTATACTAAGATAATGTTTCATGGTTCTCAATATCTATCTTTGCCACTTAAATTCCTTCAGAACCATAGCTTTACAGTTAAACAAACAATAGAAAAATTCCAAACACAAGAAAAACATATACATAACATTTATAGATCTTGTTATGGCTTTTGATACAGTTCCATGTTATATACAATATTGAAGAAAAGATAAATCAGTAATAAAATGATAAGAACAATTAGGAGCATATATAAAAACAATCACAATCATGTAATCAGTCAGAAAAGACAATCAGGAGAATTTTCAATTAAAGGTCTGAGAGAAGGAGATGTATTATGCCCAACACATGAATGAAATAATAAAGAAATGCCCATTAAAAACAAGAACAATGCATATAGAATAATAGAAACTTGAGAAGGGCAGAAACATAAATAAAACAAAAGTTATGAGTTATGATAGTAAACAGGACAAACAGAAGTTAGATATAAAAATCTATAAAATATACTTAATAAAAATAAAAAAAGCGCTAGAAATAAAAAAAAAGCAAGAAACTATCAATATCTAAAAGTGAACATAAAAGATAGTGTAGAACAGGATTTCCAAAACTGTATCATACAATGATTATAATAAATTTAAAGAAAATCAGAAATAAATGTGTTCAAATCAATGCATAGGTCAGTTTTAACTTTTGGACACAAATTATGGGTATTAACAGAGGCAAAAAAGCAAAATGCAGGCTGTAGAAATGAAGTACCTTAGAAAAATCAGGATCACCATCTTTTTTAAAACTCATTTACAAATAATGAAAGTTATAGGGCCAGTGAAGGAAATATGGCAAGTAAAAATAAAAAGGGGAAGACCAGGACAAACATGGGTTCAGACCAAATGATTCAAATCATTCAGATAATGATTATTCTAATATTTGAATGAATGAGCAAAACTCATAGAGTGGGTTGGACTCGAAAGTTAATACCAGACTGACCAGTAATTCCAACATTTTTAAAGTAGATTTTCATCAAAAAGATTATAAGTACCTACCTAATACTCAAAAACTTATAAATCAACATGTTCAAACAACAATCTTTCTTTTTATATAAGGACACTGTTTTTTTACTTATTGCATGTATAGAAATTATTATGTTTAAACCTTTCACTACATACTTACACTTTGTATTTAAAAATGGTGTATGCATTAATTAGTAAATAAATAAGTGAAAAGAATTGCAAGAGCTTTAAAAGGATCTTAATGCAATTTAAATTTTATTTGGTGATTCTTGCCATTATTCTGGGTTTTAATATGAAAAAAGTGTGTCCCCATCTAAACAAAAATGGACAGATGTTTTTTTTTTTCTAATTATTTAATGCAGTTCCTCATAATTTTGTCCTGTTTCGTTTTTTTAGCCAGCCTGTATCAATGCGTTAAATATAAGTAGTAAAAAACATAAATATTTATCATTTGTCACAGTATTGTAAATAATCAGTCTTATTTGTTGTACACTTAAAGTTGTTTGGAGTTCCTATATCAAGTTTTATAAAATACCTAAAAACAGTTTTAGTTAAGCCAATGAGTGATAATTGTTGTCAATTGTCAAGGGTCACTAAGTTAATAAGCTCACAATTGTCTCACTTATGAACTTAAGTGAAAAAAAGGAAAATTATATTATTCATGATCTTTATTGCAGGTTTTTTTTTTAAATGATGTCTGTTTACACTGTTAGTAACATATTAGAGGTGTTTTAATGGAAGTTGGTACTGTTAATTTTGTTGTTGTATTGTCCTAATTATGTAGTTGTTGTTATTGGTTGAAATAGGATATTTTCCCTATGCTTAAAATGGAACTAATAAAATATGGAAATGAATTTAAGAGAAACACCAATAATTTGAAACCTTAGAGTACATAGGCAACAAAGACAATATTGTAACAAGTCAGGGTTTTGCTGATCAGTCAACTGCAAGTAGCCTGATTTAGTTGTCAAAACATGTTACTGATGGCCAGGAAATAGAGTCAAAGCAAATAACTTTTGTGCAGAAACTTACACAGATCCAATTCAAATTCATTTATTGATGTAATTTTGCCAGTAGCCTAACACATTAAAATAAAAGCAAAACAATAGTTCTATTAAAAAATCCTAAATTCAGTTTAAGTTAAAAATACTTTAAAATTGAAATTTCAGATGTTCCTAACTACTATAAAATACATTTTTTATTCAAATTTCCTTAATTTTACTTTTAAATTGAGTTTTGGAAGATATTTTAAGTTATCAGGCAATTTGTTATAAAATTTAATTGCCTGATACCCTGATCCAGTTTGACACCTCTTTAGCCTTCAGTAGCCTGGAACAAGATTACCCCTATGTCTATCTGTGCACATCTTCATGGGTCTCAAAGCACCCCCTGCTACTCTTAATAATCATAAGGTTCCCATAGACATACAGATAGACCACAGTAAGAATTCCCAGAGTCCCATAGGCCAATCTGCAATTGTCCTTAAACCCAAGGCCTGCAAGAACTCTTATAGCCTTATGTTGCAAACCAAATTCCTAGTGAATGCACAAAGACCAAGATTTCATGTCAGATGAGAGTAAAAAGTGGTATAATAAGCTGTTCATAAGACCTTGTGTAAAATGCCTGATGCTAGATTTCTGAGCACATATAAGTTCTTTGATAGGTTTTTACTCAAACAGTCAATATGTTGATCCCATTGAAGCTTGGGGTCCAGGTTTACCCCAAGGAACTTCATACTTCTTACATCTGTGTTTTCAGCCTATGTGTAGCTAATATCAAAAACAGCCCTGTTGGCTTTTGCTTCATAAAGCAGGAGCTGTTAATACAGAATCTCTCTTTAGTATCCAACAGTGCAGACCTGGAATCCCTAAAGGAGTCCTCAAGTGTGTCACCTGTGAAGGAGACTGTGGTATCATCAGTGAAGAGTGTGTGTAGTGTTTGATTCAATGCTTGTAAGGTTATTAATATATATTAGAAATATTAGGGGTCCAAGGAACGAACCCTGAGGAACAATAATATTAATAACACTCTCCCCTGACAATACTCTAGATACCCTCACAAATTGTACCTTCTTATCTAGGTATGATTGCTATAAATCCTTCTATATGAATGGTATGAATCCTTCTCTCCCTCTGTTCCTCCACATTCTCTTCGTATGTCTTAATTTATTCAATCTCATGACCTCTCACTCTGCCTTATTTTCTTGCTTGCTCCTGTACACCCTGAGTCTCTTCGGGTCGCCGTTGTTCTTGTTCCTTCTCCCAGCATGGGTCCAAGGACTGTGACACTCAACATCAACCACCACTCCTTTTTCTACCACAATTGTCCTCTGACAGGTAGTCTGAGACCAAATTTATCAAGGAACTCGGACACCTCTCTTATAAATCCTTCATTGCCTGGTTCCATTTTAATGTGTTGAAGATTCAGCACATCAAACATCAGTAGGATTGCCTATTTCTGATTAACCCCACCCCGGGCAACTCACGAAAGCCTCTTGTATAATTTACCAATGCATGAAAGAAGGCAAACAGGTCAATACTTACCTCCCCCTTTTGGGAGTATCACGAGCATCAAGATTTTCCAATTTGCGGGAAATTGCAGAGTTTCAAGCAGTGCATTTATGTATTCCAAAAGTCACTTCGGCTCCAAACGGCCAATGCGTTTCGCCGCTTCTGGCGGTGGCATCGAGTCCGGGAGCCTTTTGCTTCTTTAGGGCACTCAACGCTTGGTTTAGTTCCTCAAGCTTCCCGATTAATGATATCTCATACCGAGAGTACAGCCTGAACTGGTTCATTACGATTTTGTATGCCTGACTGACCCCATATCCAGTCTGCTAGCTTCGATTCTTCACTCCTACCTCTTGTCTTCATAGCCTGTTTTCTGAAGGCAATGCAATCCTTACTCTTATTGGCGATCACTTCGAACTACCAATTGGGAATTTTTCTTTTTTAGATAATGATTAGACAATGATAAGATTTTCTTATCATTGATGGAAGTCCTTTTGCTGATGACAATGCCATCTTCTAGTCTCTATCATCCATCTAGAGTATTCATCAAAAGCTTATCAATCTGTTATATTTGCACCTCTGCTTCCTGTTTGGTATCGCTGATGAGTCCACGTTGGTAGTCCCTACTTCGATCATCAAATATATCAATATATCAGTGTTCTGTGGCAGTGTCATTCGGCAGCACGACCCAGTCTCATTTTTCTTACCACATTCTGTGTGGCGCAGGTGACATCAATATATAAACGCGAATTTCCCTTCACGATCGTTGGTTCCCGACTATTATTTAAGACAACTAAGCCCAGAGTTCTTA